ACCATCATATACGTGCTTATAGGTTTTCCCTCATATATAGCACCACCGAATATGTGCTTATAGGTTTACGATAATTTGCGGAGTCACAGCGTTGCTCCGGCCACCGGGTTAAATTGCTGTGGTAACACATTTAGATGATATCGGGGGTGCGATGAGGCTTCACTCTGATGTCAGGTCACATCACTTTCTCACGTCCACCGAGTGGTCCTGTGAAACCGTCAGCTCTCCTGCTTATTAGGCCTCATCCGATTCTCTCCGAAACAACAATAACGCTTATTATTATTATTATCTCATTAAATGCTAATTATAATGGAAGGTGGGACAGATGAAGCTTTAACGAGAATCGATGACTCACGCGAGATGCGACAAAGGGAAAGGTTTTTTTTGTTGCTCCCCGTCTAAAAATAAGCGCTGCTCCGCAGAGCGTGCTGGTGGGCTTGTATATATATTACGATAAATCACATCGCACAAGACTTTTACTACAAAACTGTGCTGAGCGCTCCGTGTGCCCGACGTGGGGTTAAGCCTACAAATAATTATGAAGCGGCGACGAGCTGCCGGTGTCGGTTTGCCGTTGCCTCCTCCGGGCAGTCGCCTATCGAGGTGCCGACTCGGGGTCGACCGAGCGTCCGGAGTGAGGTCTGCGGGCACCGGTCCTACCGGTCGGCCACGCCGGGGGCATCGGGAGGCTCGCCGACTGTGGGGTCAGTCGCATAAAACCCCTGAAGCGAAAATCTCCCTTAATTGCCACAGATTTGAACGTGGGGCTAATGGAGTTTGCGCTTAAGTAGTTTTATGCCACTGGCTGCTGGGCCTACGTGGGCCGGTCCGTGGATCAGCCAGGCACGGCTCCTATCTCGGTTTCTGACGCTTAAAGAGCCACACAGCACGTCACACTCGGTCCACCCTGCCTGCACTCCCTTAGCTCCTCCGCAGACAGAGGATAAGGGATTGTCGGTTTTTAACAGCGTTTAACGTTTTTAACAGGGTTTAACGTTTTTAACAGGTTTTAACGCCTTTTGGCGTCCTCTGGTCTAACACCATTTGAGACGAGTCTCAAAAGAAAGCTGTCTCTGGTGTGAACCAATCAGTTTCAAGGACAATGCGTATATTATCATAGTATGTTTTTTTGTTTGCATTCTGACTACAAGCATTGTGGTTAATGCAGACATGATTCCCTGTAAAAAGATTCAGTTTGGTGTTTTAACATCTTAACACCTGTTTTGTTGCCAGAAAAAAGGGGAAAACCCTATTATCACAGGGTTTAACTTAATATTGTGATTACTCTTTCCCACCTTAAAAAAATCTAGTATTTTGTGTATTTTTCTCAACAACTTTACAAGAGCACAGCCCTACAGTTGACCCGACGCGAGAGATGCCGCTCGCAGCCACCACGACACGGTTAAAGTGATCCAAGTGGTCCAGTTTGTGCCGGCTTGCCACAATAAGGCTATCCGGTGAAAATCCAGCCCAAGGCCCAATTGGCGGCTAACTCCCATCGGTCATGAAAAACGTCGCGTCAGTTTGAGTGATCCCACCCTGATGGAGGCTCGGGTGTGGAGCACCTCTTGCTTCTGACGGTACCCTGGCCACCCCCAGCCAGTGTCCAGCTGACTTTCCTGGTCACCCCCTGACAATGTCTAGCTGGCGTCCCTGGTCACCCCCAGCGTGTGTCCAGCTGACGTCCCTGGTCACCCCCAGCGTGTGTCCAGCTGACGTCCCTGGTCACCCCCAGCGTGTGTCCAGCTGACGTCCCTGGTCACCCCCAGCTTGTGTCCAGCTGCCGTCCCTGGTCACCCCCTGCCAATGTCTAGCTGGCATCCCTGGTCACCCCCAGCTTGTGTCCAGCGTGCACTGTGGTTGTTTGAAGCACCACCAGACCGGCCATCCCTGCCCGTTTATTTCCAGGCAGGTTCCACATAGGATCCCATTGGCTAGACAAGTAACGATGCATGGAATAAACCGTTTGAATGTGTTTTTGCAATCGCGATGCAGGCATCGCATTGCGCATGTGAGAATAAAATTTCCTTTACAGTTCATGCAAATTATATGCCATTTAGGTTGATGGAGTAAGCGAAGCTTCATAAACAGGACAAGCAAGACATAACGCAAATGTTAATATTCATAATATAACATTGATAATTACTTGCTTATCTACGTTAAGGCCCAACGTTGGCCGAACATTGGTCCAATGGTTCCAACCAAATGCCAACGTTGGTCCAATGTTGCCCGTTTACAGGGAACAGGACCCTCTCTCTCATGTGCCGGCCGCTGAGAGTTAACTGCACATGGCAATGCATGTGGCACGTGGGTATGGTGGCGTCTGATATTGCACGTGACACACGTCTCGGGGGAAAATTCCCAACGTGTCACATATTCATGCGAGGCATGGCCAGTGTGCGTCTTGCTTCGCGCGGACAGACCAACAAAGGAACCTTCGCGAAAGATGCTGGACGTGTCGCGTTCTGCATTAGCCCATTGTGCGGCGAGCTTTTCCAGAGAAGCCTGGCGTGTGATATTATAGGGAGGAAAAAACAAAAGCCCCAACGGGTGACATTTAGGGTGCGTGCATGCGCACGTGTGTGTCGGTGTTGCATGTGTGGGGGCGTGTGGTGTGCCCGCGCCTTCGCAAATGCTTTAATTAATGCTCGGCTTTATCAACATAACCGGCAGGTTGCCATCGTGGGGCAGCAGCTTACGGTGCCCTATCTCTGCCGGAGGGTGTGCCCCAGTATTCCTAAATGAGCGCGCGGCTGCCAGTAAATCAATGGCGACGTGCAACTTTGAAATGCTGCGTCGCGCAAATGGTCCGTCCTCGGCGAAAGGGGTTAAGGCTGTGACAGTCGTATCATGGAGGTTCAGGCCGCACATGATAAATGAGAGGCACAATTACCACTATAAACCAAGTTGAATGAAGGTGCAAAGCAATTACAGGTCAAGAGCTTGGCCTTCTTGCTTACGGCTGGGAATTCACATTCACCTTACAGAGACTTTGAATCCATTGCCTAGTCACCAGCCCCGGGCCAATCAGAGCTTAAAATGTCATGCCCTTTTCTCGTTTATGGCTACAAAGAAAAATGTACGAAATTTCATAATCTTTAACAAAAAAAAAATATTTTGCCCGACACCAGCGATTAATTTTATTTTGACCTACAGACATTATTATGACAATACATCAAGAAAATATATCCGGTGAAACCAAAAAAATATATGGCTTTGATGCTCTCGAGAAATATTTATTTTGATTCAGTTGATTGAACAAAGGCGTGGCATTCGCATTGGAGAACATTTCTGTTGCCATGAGATATTTGCATTTGCTATTGAAAACGGTCTACAAAATACATATACATCTGTATTATAAATAAATAAAAGCCCATTCCTTGCAAAAAAATATTAATATGATGACATTTAAGCCTCAATTTAAATGCAAACTTATTGGGGGAAAACTTGCAAGTGTTCACTGAGGCATGGCTGCTTTTAGAAAAACCGTTATCACGAGTAAATGAAAACCCTAACTACAAAATAATGAGAAATTTTTAACACGCCATTAATATGTGGTGCCCCTCATTGGCAGCACGGCATTTTAATGCATGTATTGCAAACATTAATGCGGTTTATAAAAGGCAGCGGAAATGCAGAAGAGGAGGTGCGGATGCAATGCCTTGGATGTGGTGGGGTTTTTTTTTGCTGGGGAGAGAAGATTATGCCTCTGTGTTGGAAGGCTTAATGGTGTGTTACGAATCACAAGTCTTTTCCATTTTTATTTGTTCTATTCTGTTAAGCACAAGCAAAACACTGAGCCCTCCACACACATCGCTGCAGTTTTGCTCCATGCTAGGTAAATTATATAGATATTTACTGTACGCATGCGGAGGCTGCCTCGTGCCACGAGATGGATGGATGCCAGTCCAAGCGTAGTTGTTATGTTTATTTATAAATGCCAATTCCGCACGAGGGTTTGCAATGTCCGTCTGTATCTTTACAATGCCCTACACAGTGGCTGCGATATTACAGTAAACAGTCTTGTTATGCTCTGCTCAAACAGACGAGAGTAAGGCTTATATTTTAACATGAGTGAGCAGGTTATTTTTATTATTAACAGGTTTTAGGTGTACAGATATATTTTTTACGGTTTAATGATGGCATACGATAATAAGGAATTGAAATAACGAAATCCATTCCAATGCTGTACTGATGACATGTTAAGTTTTGCAGGGCAAGTGATTCCCTGCCTATTTGCTTTGGCCAGGAAATGTTTTCTCTCTCCACGTCTACGCCTGTCCATCCAAGGATACTTGACACGTTCTAACAAAAACTACAAAATCCCTACTTCACATGCCAAAAAAAATATTCACGCAGTAGATCGGTACAGTACTTGGGCAAAATTCACAATAAAATGGTTTTAAAAAAAGGTTTACGAATTAACAACACAAAAACTGTTACTCTGCATATTGTGATTAACACTTTTTTTATTGTAAGGGTGCATAGGTGTAAGGACACAAACCCGTCCATCCACTTATGTGTGTTTGCTTGTATCCGTGCAATACATATCTTGCATGGTCAAATCCCCTTACAAATGGAGTCTCCTCCCATAATGCCCTGGTTTGTCAGCTCACCCCCTTTCCCACGAGGAGACCTGCGGACTTTCTGGGATACTGCCACAATAGCTGCACGATTTTATATGCTTAGAAAAAAAAGGACAATTTTGGTACTATAAAAAATTGGTTGCAAAAATTAACCAACATTCCTGCCATTTTTTTCAACCCTTTTGGGGATTTTATCCACCAAGGTGGAAAGCCAGTTTCCAGGCTACCCTTGACAGTCATACAAATGAGATGTTCCATCACAAAGGATTGCCCAGCTAAAATCTACCCATGAGTCAGGCCGCAGCTTGAACCCTGAATAAGGCCCCGACAGGTTTTTGCCGGTACCCCAGCGGCGTGCTCTTGCACCACTGTGGAGAGTGGAGTTGAACTGGAGCCCTCGATGTGCGGGGCCAGGCTGCAGGCGCTGCGCAAGGAGAAGTCTCGCGATGCGGCTCGCTCGCGCCGCGGCAAGGAGAACCTGGAGTTCTACGAGCTGGGGAAGATGCTGCCGCTCCCGGGCGCCATCACGGGCCAGCTGGACAAAGCATCGCTCGTGCGCCTCACCATCAGCCACCTACGCATGCGCGACTTCGCGGCGCACGGGGACCCCCCCTGGGAGCCGAGCCGCGAGTGTTCACCCCCCGGCACCGCCGCTAAAGGTGAGGGTGCACGCGCTGGCATCGGCATCGTCGTCGTCGTCGTCATCATCTGCCGCGATCAATAACACTGCTGAAGGCCTCCACATGCCGTGGCCATTTCTCACATTCTTGCGACGTGGCAATCCACCGAACACCGGCTCACAGATTGATTTCATCGCTCCCGTCTTATTTTTTGGCGGACGTAATCTTCTTCATCCTTTGACCGCCACTACGTCGCTCCTTCTTGACCATCAGCTTCAATCGTAATAATTTACAGCGCTTTCTCAATCCACAGCTGGTTGAAGGCCTCCCCCATGACGTATCAGACATGGGGGTTGTTTGACCAAAATTCACCACACTGCTCAGTGCGGGTTACAGAAAGGGAAGGAGGCAGGGCCGGTTCAGATATCACTCGCCACTCATGTTAGCCAAGGTCGGGAATTAAAGTCGGGTCACTAGGTTCAAAGCACAGCACGCGAATGACTGCATCGCCACTCCACCAGGTTCATAGCACAGCACGTGAACCACTGCACCGGCTTATATGTGGTAATTCAAATGCACCCTTCCGCCACTCAGCCAGTGGATCAATAAACCTATTCATTTAAGAGCCAGGAAATATAATGATGTTGCTGCTCTGGTCCACTATGCGCATGTGTGTGAATATCCTGAATGCAGTTTATCGTTTAGTTGGGGGGTGGTGGGGGGGGGGGGGGGGCACGGTGGTTTGCACACTGCCCTATGCACCCGGTGACCTGAGTTTTATTCCCGCTCATGACTAACTTTGGTGGCAAGTGATATCTGAACCAGTACAGGGTCCCTCCGATGTCAACCCAAATGCACGGAGATCATTTGAGACAGGTACAGCAGTGGTGTTATGAACCCGGTGACTTTAGTTCGATTCCTGGCCGTGGCTAACTTAAGTGGCAAATCCACACTGACCAGCATGGTCAAATATGGTCAAACACCCCCAATAACTGACACGGTGTGGGAAGGCCTTCGTTCAGCAGTGAATATGTAACCAAAGGTGCCACTGTTCACGGTTGGGTTTGTACTGTCGGGGAATGTGTCCTGAATTCCCTGTACATGCAAATGAGATGCTTATCCCACGTATAAGCCACTTCGCAGATCTTTGGCACTCTTTTTGGGTACAACTGCTATAAAAAAATAAAGTAGCATTGCTATTAGAAATTAGGCTGAAATGCATGTTTTTCACAGTGGGAATCTGGCTCCATGCCCCCGTAGGCCACCGTGGTGAAAGCTATATTCACTTCTTGACTGTGTATTAATAATTTATCTTATATCGCACCACAACCAAACCATTACAGCTTGCACAGAAGAAACCGAACGGGAGACAAAGCCATCTCCGTAATGCAATGCGCCTGAGCAAGCTGCTTGCGCTTGCCTCGGCCTAAGTTCTGCTCCTCCTCGACTATCTCTGCGTACAAGGTTTTGCAACGAGACTGCTGTGCCACCTACTCAGCTGGTGTGGAGAAAGGTGTATAGCGTGGGGAATGAGCGGTCTTGATGCGGAGCACGTTGCGACCATCTGGTAAACTCTGGCGCAATCTCACAATTGGCCAAAAAAACCCCGCTTCGCCGGCTTGGCTCGGCACAGCTGGGCGCACCGCATCCTCGCGCCCCAGCATCGCCGGGAGCCAGCCTAACGATGGGGGGTGTGGTGGGGGGGCGACGGGGGTTCGTCTTAAGTGCGTGGCATCGTCATTTCAAACTCTTGCTTCACAGCTGAATCGCCCGCACGGTGCCCGATCGTGCGTGACCGTGCGCAGAGTAAGAAGCTGTTTGCTCTTTTGAAAAAAAGTCTCTCAAATCTCCATTCCATTTCGCACCTCCGATTGGCACGGTTGGCTACGTACGGTACGAATGAAGTTTAACATACATTCCTTCCGCCCCACCACTTGACCGTTTTGCCGCTTGCAGATATTAGGTGCAACTAGTTGAGCTATGGCCACACCGGCAAGCATTTAATGTCGATTGCCTGCTTCACTTACTTATTTCATTCCGTGCTTTCCTTTCATGAAATCAACAGGGAAGTTCGTGTACTGTGAATTCAGAACGGGGTTTTGTGTTTTAATGGCTGTTCTACGTTTGACAGTCGCGGGGGTTTCGGATTTTTGGTCTTCCTGTTGTGAATTTGAGGTAGCTTATTTGGGTTTCATATTCAGGTCCTGCTCCTTCCTCTTCAGGTCCCACCTATTTCTGTTTAGTTTAACACGCAGGTTTTACGCGACCAATATTATCTGTAGTAAAGTGTATTTTTTTTTTTAGTTAGATCTCGGAAATATAAATGTGTTGTCAAACCCGCCACCATCCGACGCAGACAATTGTCTCTGTTTATAGACCCCGCCCCATACTGCTTTGGATCCAACCCCTTTAATTGAGGCTCCGCCCCTCCTTGCTCGGGACGGGTCTTGCACGTGCTTTGGCTTTTGTGTTTTGAAGGCACTGACTGCCCCTTTATGTTTCCTATGAGACTTGGAAACTGATTTTAAAAAAACCCCAACATACTGAGACAGACGTCCCAAGAAATGTAAAGTAAACCAAGAAACCGAGGCGCAGAAGCATTGAAAATGCAAGGGCGAGTCTACTTTTGGAGGAAAGAGCTTCATAGCTCATCGGATTTCTCCGGGATAAATAAAGATTCTGATTCTAAAGAGAGGGGTTGGGGTTAGTAAATGAGTTTGCATAGCAGCAGTAGGCTCCATTTAAGGAACACCCCCCTCCCCCATAGTAAATGAAATAACAACCTTGAATAGTTATTATATCCCCACTTGTTTCTCACAGAAAGGGTGTCATTGTAAAGACAAACTTCTGGAGCTGAGCATTACAAAAGACCTACACCATCGGCAGCTGCCGGTGCCGCTGCAGTTAAAATAGGGCTGAGTGAATGATGTTCAAACCCGAACCAAAAAAACAGTGAGAATCCATTGCACGGCCGTGAGACACTGGAAATTGCGAAATAACCATGAGTCTCAAAGGTGATCCTTGAGACTCGACGTGTCTGGTGGGGTAGTGGTGGGGATTATGGAATGGGGGGGTGGGTGGTTGGGAGGGTTGAGATTGGGTGGATGGGGGACCGTAGGGGAAGGGGTGGCCTCATGGTTGCACGATTTATTACCGAGTAAAAACCTGGCCCCCCCCCCACCACCCACTTCCTTACCACCCAGCAATAAAAAAATAGCCATCTCCCTCTGCAGTGGCTCCTTTAAAAGGGAAATCTCCTTCCCTTGCTGTCGACCTCCCCGCGAATGTCGCGTGTCCGTGAAGGCGGCGTCGCTTCGGTAGGAGCTGGCCAGCGTTTGGACAGCTGTTTGTGTGTTGTGGTTTTCTTTTCCTTTCCACTAAGAAGCAACACCTTGTTGGGGCCCGATTACATGGGATTACTGCGGGAACAGGGCCATTAAGGGTTATTTGGCATAGTCGCGCGAGCTTTATGGGCCCCAAAATCGCATCTAAGACGCTTCGATTCATGGCGTGCCGCCAACCCCGCAACTTGGACGTTTAATGCGCCCCCCTGCCGACTCGCTCCCCCCCCCCCCCCCTCTGGGAAGATCAGCCGCACCACCTGTATAAGAAGCTATTGAGTGAGCGGTGTGTGTCCGTGTCGCGGGAGCGCCTACCAGCGAATACGCGATTGTACCGTCGAATACGTGATTGCACCGGCGAATATACACGATTGTTCCAGCGAATATGCGATTGTCTATTGGGCAACATTGGTGGAATTCAACATAGGACAGCTGAGGTGACTGATAAATCAACGCTCGCTAATTCACTTCAGTCACTTGCTCATCCACGGCCAGTCTGCCTGCTTATCAGTCTTATGTTGCTAATACTGTGATTACCCTTCCCCGTGAATTCTACTCCACGCTGGAGGTCTATTTCTCCCACTTCCCTTGCACTACTCTCCTTTGGGATTCCTTCCGATCATTGTCTATTTTGCCATGCTCTGACATTAATAACCTTGCTCAATTCAAGTAAGCGTGTAAACTATCTATTGCAACTTCGACAGCGCTGTTTGTTGCCGGTCGCTTGCCGTTTCGCGCCTTCGTGCCTGTGCTCAGCAACTGTAAACAAAAAATGCAGGACAGGATGGGTGGACCATGTGAGATTTGCAGACTTGCATTTGAGAATCTCTTGGCTGAGCAAATGGCATACGTGTGACGATGTTGCATCGTTTTGTCAATTGAATTGTTGCTCATAATACAGGGTTTTTTCAGTTAGATTGCGTGAACATATGTGTCGTATAAACCCGCCACCACTTGACACAGCCAATTAGTAAGGTTTGTCACGTAAACAGAACACACCAATTCGTCACTAGCGCAGCACACCGGTGTGTTGGAGAGCAAAGCCACAACATTTACAATCTGAGTACGACGTTTTGCCAATAATTCCAACCGGTCTGATGATTCTGGTTGTAATTACTGCCGCCTGATGAAGCTAGTTGTAATTACTGGCGAAATGTCGCGCTCAGATTGTAAATCTTGTGGCTTTGCTCTCCAACACACCGGTGTGCTGTACTAGTGACGAATTGGCCACGTTCTGTTTACGTGACAAACCCCATTACTAATTGGCTGTGTCGGGTTTTGGCGGATTTAACAACACATTAATATATTTACGCTTACTAACCCAAAGAAAAATCGGGATTATGGATGATATTGGTCGCGAAAGTATACTAGGTGTTAAACTGTTGAACTAGATTGTTGCTTTAACACGTAGGCTTTCGCAACCAATATTATTCATAATACAGATTTTTGGGTTAGGTCGCGTTATTTATAAATGTGTCGTAACCCTCCACCACCCGACACGGCCAATCAGCAGATGCTACATTGGACAGACGGGACGTAGCATCAGCATGAGACTAAAAGAACACCAAAGAAACATTAAATGATCTCAAACACAACTGTCGGAAGTGGCAGAACATGCTTGTCAACAAGGACACTCAATTGATTTTGATCACGTTGAAGTGTTGTGTAAAACTAATTATTACTGGAAAAGACTAATTA